TCGGAGCGGCTGCCTTAACGCGCGAGACATTAAAGAAACGTGCTTCGTGTGCTCCTTGCTGCTTTTAAAATAATATGTGCAAAAATTGTGCACGCGAGCTGTTCTACTGACTGATTTATTTATTTATTTTTTCTTTTTTTTTTTTTGAGAAGCGTAGGCGTGTCGAAAGAATAAACCGCGCGGAAAAAACGGAGGCAGGTTTCTTTTCCCGGGTGTGGAAAATCGGTTGGTTCTGCGAAACGATCCGCCAGAGATACGGCGATAATAATATATCATCGTCGCGTTTCCTTCCTCCCTTCCCTGCTCCGAGAAGGAATGAGCAGCATTCGCGATGAGAAAAAGGATGAGAGCGTATAAGAAGGAAGACGCGATTATCTGGAATAAAACGTCCAATAATGAATACACCCACCGGCTCGATTCGCATCGGTAGCGCCCGGTAGTTGGACACGTAGATTGTAACGGAAGTACGAGGAGCAAAGTCGGCGGTCGCGATCGGAATGTTGTTCCTTCGGTATCTACCTGCTTCGCGGCGGAATCATCGATGTCGAACGAACATTGTCCGTAAAAACGTAAATACGGAGGAACGCGAGTCTGATGATGCACTTTCCTGGTTTTTTTCTCAGTCGAGTTAATTCGTATACATCTGACGACGCCGCGAACTTGTAGACACGAAATATCATTTATACAGAAATTGAATCGATCGTAGCCGCCGCTTTGTGGCTACAAGACGAGATAAAAAAGATAGTAATCGCCTCATTGTCAACAGTTACGGCAAAGCAAGCCGTACTTATTTCACAGTTCCGTTATCTCTAGTATAATAGTAGTTACGAATAATAGCTAGCTACGACAGATAACAAAATCATTTATCATGTATACATATCTTTTTTATGTGCTTATATGTTTGATGCATCACATTTTATTATATGTAGATACGTGTACCTTAACAAATTATAGTTTTGCTATATGTTATTAAATAAACCAACCGTTTCTGTTAAGATTTCTTTGGTTTACTCAACAGAAGCTAGAAACAGATGATAGGTAGTTGAAGATGTAGTACAAATTACCCACATATGTATCAAGTAAGAAAATCATAGCTGAACGAGTCGATCTTCTCACGATATGAATTCGCAAATATACCGCTATCCCACATCCTTGTTAATGCAAGCATCAACGTAAGCCTTTTAAAGCAAAAAAATATCAAGAGTTCATACCTCGTGCAGCGCGTAGGTAGGCTGACCCTCGACCTAGACTTTCGTCCTCGCTCCACCTTGACCGCGACCTCGACCGCGATCCCTGATAGGAAAGAAGGAAGGCGTACTTCTCGCGGTTCCTGCACGTCACTGACAAGCCGGTAGACCAGATCGGCTCTAATCCAGCCGTTCTCTCCGTTCTCACGTTGATCCTTGTTCGCTTCCGCCGGTCTCTTCTCCCAAAAAAGAAACCTCTACGGTTCTCGCACGCTACCGACCGAATACACGGAGATCGTTTTGACAGAGTCGCCGATGGCGGTGACTTGACAGCGGCTACGATCACGCGACTTGTGGCACCCAAGATCGCGGACGACAAAATTCCGTCTTGCAACGTCTAGCACGCACCCTCTTCCGCGTTCCGCAACTCTTCCGAGGCCGTGAACCGTACTGCTCGCGAATTGCCGTTGCCGTTGCCTATTGCTGCTGTTGGCTGTCCGGAGACTGGTGTGTGGATTGGAGGCTAACCCGCGATGAGATTGTTTCGGGGTTTGCGCCCGACTGCGGCCTCGCGTAGGACGCTACGTGCCTATGAGTCCCCGCTAGTCCCACTTACCAACCAACCAGAAACTGCTCGGGTATACTCGGAATCCTAAGCTGCATCTCCGCCAATCCACCTTCCACTCTTCCTCCCTCCGTTCCCCCTCGTCGCGTTGCCCGCCTCGGGGTTCCTCGGTTCCGCGCTTGTCCGGGATTTGCTTGTGCTTTTCGTCTTTCGGCCCCGCCGGAAAGCAGCCGTTGATAGACGCGGGTGAGTTTTGCGGCTGGAACCGGTCGTTTCTGGACCACCAAGTGCCTCTTAATCAACCGTGAAGGCGGTTTTGCGGACTATTAATTGATATTAGTGACAAGTTACGAGGAGAGAAGTCCCGCGTGTCTTTTACCTTCTCTCTTTCTCTCGCCCCCTCTCTCTTCTTTCTTCATAATTGGAAATCACGGGAGATACTTACAAGATGAGAACTGCTCTTTGAAGTAGCCATCGGCTGTCCGCCGCTTTGATCTTAGGAATATTACGCCGAGACCTAATAGACCCCGACTCAACTCCCACGTATCCTCACCTTTCGAATCAAATAGAGAGAAATTTCCGCGTGCTGCCTAAAGCTATAAACTTTCTGCTCATTTTCTGCTCATTTCTGTATAGGACTTATAGTTTGATAAATTGATTTATATATATTTCTTGATAAAAACTAACAATTACGTTGCTAATGCAACAGAAGAAAATAACATATAGACAAAGATTTATCTTTTTTTTCTTCTTCTTCTTCTTTTGTTTCGATAAATCCTCCAAAAACTTCAAAAACGCAAGAAACAAGTGTTACAACGGATGTAATTAGCAGGTAAACATAAATCGGCAATTATTTTAGAAAGTTTAAGTCAACAGAGAAAGGGTGATCTGTCGACGGGTTTCCTCCTTCGTAAATCCCAACACATCGATAACGATTTTTGCGAATCGTACGAGAGAGAGAGAGAGAGCATACCTCACGATTATTACTTCGTGGCCGTCGTCGTCAATAGGCTCTCGCTTTATCGCGATTTTTTCATCGTGGACACGATGTCGAGTAACACGTCTGGGGTACAGCACGGCCTTTCTCCGAAGATCGAACGCGTATTCTTCTCGGCCGCGCGATTCATCTCGGTGAAAGTCCGCGGCTATCTGTTAAGCATGAGATTTGACGTGGACGCTAATCATTGTCTGCGGTGCGCAACAACCGCTCGGCCCATAGTTCGCGTGTTTTTCTACCGCCGCGAAGCAGCAGCGGCGAGGAGAGAACGTCGAAGATTCAGCGTCGATATCGACGGCTCCATCGGGAACGCAGCCTCCAGCTTGACCATTAGCAATCGGAAAAACTGACCCGCTCTTTGCGCCAGTGGGTTTTTGCGCGCGAAACGAGGCGAGTGTGCGGTTCGCGAAAGAGAGGAACAAATAACACGTGGTAAAAAAGCCCCGGAGAAGTGTGTCGGAAAAGATCCACGGCTCCGCGATCTGGAATCGCCGGTTGTGGCCCGAGAATCTGCGCGAACTCTTTTACGGGGGGGATTCGTGACTAATAAAGATTCTCCAGCGTCCATAAGACGAGAGCGTTGTAAAAACACGCGATGCCCGAATAAATTTTCGCCGGAGAAAAGCCCTTTCATATTCATGAGAGAATTCGCTTTCTAAGCTCTTCATGCGTTTGGACATGCAACTTTTTTCTTGCTACTAATTATCGCTACACACGATAATAAATACTCGAATAGCTATTGAACATTTCTTGGAGATTCACCCGTGGAAATTTAATTAATTAGCCTATAAAAAACGCTTTGCTCTGAAAAACAAAGTTGCTTATTTTTCGTAGTATAACACTTTAACATATATATGAAAGTTATAAATAAGAATTATAAAAAGTCACGAAAAAACTTGCCCGTTTTCTAAAGGTTAATGTTGTATAGATTAAACTGACGTTACGATGATATCTTAACAGAGTCTTAATCTTTTTTACTTTTATTTCAATTACTCGTTAAATTAATATTTTCTCATTTTAATTTATTTCAATTTGTTCAATCTATGTCGCTCATTTTTTATTTGCAACATTATTATTTATATATTTTAACAGCCTCTTGAAAAACACGAGATTCGGAGAAAATGTTGCAAATTAATCGCTGATTAATTTGATTCGCGATTCGGACAATTTTTTGACCGGCCGTACCTTCAAGCGCATCACCTTCGGCGCGCGATTGCGCGCCGCGCAAGAGAACTCGAGTCAAGGTAGCGCGGCGGTAACGGTGCCGTGCAGATGGTAACGTGCAAGGAGTGGAGCATCCGCGAGTCGCGGGTGATGGACCGTGACGTTCTCACAGATAACTCACGGCTTCCGACGTCCACTCGCGCTCTGCCTGCGCCGAGTTATCCGCGGAATAACTAGACGCGGGAGACGGCGGTCTCTTTGTGGTCCCCCTTGCGAGAAAAAACCACGCGTATGGGGGAAAAAGCACCCGATTTCGAATTCGATTTCCACGTCTCTCCGACGTAAGATATCAGAAAGTTACTTTTCCCGAGGAGGGAAAACGTAGTAAGGATAGAAAATTATATTGAGAGCCGGTAATAGTGCGTTTACGACGACGATGTCGCGAATTTTGTTGCGTCTGAGAAAAATTTCTTATTCTGCTCGCATTCGGAGCAACGTATGCCCTCGATAAGAAAGAAAGGTGATTAAGACGCCGGTGTGTTTTAATTTTATATCAATTTGTGAGATACATATAGTGGCAAAGAATTTTACATTTTTGAATTATAAGATTAAGACAATGTTGTTGTATCGTTTGTTGTATTTCGCGTTCGAAGATGCGCAGTAATTTTAAATTAAAAATTGTAAATTAGTAAATTTTTGACAAAATTGATCAAATAAAAAAATTACTGGTGTTTTAAATCGAAATTGTTGCCACCAGCATGGTATATTTCGTTAAAATTCATGCATTGTTTAATTTGTTGATTAAATATATTGTTGATATTGTTATAACGATATCTTCTTTATCGACTTGCGATAGATCGGTAGTCATTTCGCGCATTCTTATCCTTGACTCTTACCCGCATCCTCGACGATCTCGAAGATCGATAAATCGCTTCTCTATCACATTTTCGTAAAAATACATTTTCCTAATTAATTTCGAATTTTGATATTTATATACATATATTTCTCCATTATCCAAAAGTTATATTTCTCAGAGAAAAAGAGGCTGGAAAGGATAAAAAATAACATTGTTATGCGCACGCACACATACATAGATTTTTTTTTATTTAAGTTAAAGTAAAAGTAACAAATAACATCGAGAGAGTCTCTTCCAAATCGTCTTGCGATGCTACCATATACAATATACTCCCCGAATGAGACACTTTCGGAAGACCAGGGACGAATATATACAAGTTTAAAACGACTGCGATGAATAGCTGCAACGTGCTGCAATATTCTACGAAGCGGCATAAAAATCGGTAGCGCTAAAAAGAGAGGACTCGCCGTTGCTACGACCGAGGGGAGGGCGCGCGATAACTTGAGGCCCGTGTCACATTGCGGGAATACGAGGCGATCGTTTCGAAACGTACTGTACAAAACTGTAGGCGGGCACGATTCTCTCTTATCTCTATATATCTTCTGTACATTACTTTTTACACTTAACATTCGCCAACGCCGCTGGGGGATTGTACATGGCACGGCATCACATGGCTGGTACAAGCCGACCGATCGACACGTATGTTAATTTCCCGTTGTTCGCGATTCCTACGCGACGCTTCCTTGACGACAAAGTGGATCGAGGAGCGCGTCGCGTACCGCGCTTCGTTCGAGACGAAAGAGGAAAGATATAGAATGAGAGGAAAAAGAAATTCAAAAAAGGATTATTCGCAACAGCGTTCGGATGAGCTCTTCTTGCCGAGAAAGATCATCCGAGCGCGCGCACGTCGCCACCGTCGGGAATTTTGGAAGCCGCCTCGGTGATTTTACGGCAACGTTTCGACAATCGGCAGGTACCAAATGGCCAATTGTTGCGCGCTTGAAAAGGCGGACAAAATCCGCCGGTTGGTTCCGGGGAACCAACCGTTTTTCTTTTTAACGAGGGACATATGGTAAAAGTATGAGTGGGGTCCGTTGAAGCTCGGTGTCGGTGGCGGATTTGCGTTCGGCAGACATCCCGGATTCGTCGCTGCAGCGAGAGTTGCCGTTTCTAAACGCGCGAGGCTTCCCCTCAGATGCCGTAGGTCATTTTGTCGTAGCCGTGGTACGGCACGCAGTAGCCGCTGTAAGTCTTGATCTCCAGGACGCCGGCGTAGGATCGCGCCGGCGTGGACCCGGGATCCGTGTGTCGCCGCGGGCACCGATGTCCGCGGGGGCACTGGCAGAGGGGCGAGGCGTTCACCTCCTCGAGCTGCGAATTGCGTCTCTTGCGCACGGTGAACAGGCGGCAGGGCTCCTTGTGCTGGCACCGTATTTTCTGCAAACATCAAGTTGACCCCGCGGTTAGGACTTCTCGTCAATTGTCGCGCTAACGAAAGGATCGGGGTGACCCAAACGCGTAGAGATACCGAGAGATATGCATTGATTTTAGCAGAACTCTTAAAAAATTATACTCTGGGATAAATAACTTGCGTGTTTTTCTTTCTGACATTGTTGACTTACACTTTGCGGAGAACAGGCGAAGGCGTAGACGAAGCCTTGATTTCCGTCCGGCGATTTGTGCGGTTGCCTACGTACTAGGTATGGCACGCTGTTTGGTCGACATCGACAGTAGACTCGTTGCACCGTCGCGTTCGCCGGGCCACCTCCGGGGGCTAGGGTCCACGTAATGTCCCTGTGGTAAAAAGTCCAGGATATATTCAATGCAAACGTACATTATTACTTATTATTGTTTATTTCGCGAGCGAGTAATTTGGATTCAACAGTGATTCTTCAATTCGCGCGATTCAACAGTGCAGTGTTTTGAAAGGAACCGTTCGTTTCCCTCGTTCAGGGAAAAGATCGTAGAAAAATGTCATTCAACTGCAGTGCAACTACAGCGATAGAGTTTTAAACGTGAACAACAAAGCTAAAGTCCAAGCAACGCAACGTGGAATCGTCGAAGCGATCGCGGAGAATGCGTGTCGTGATCAAACTAACTTGAAGTAATGACAGATGGGAAGTCGTTTCACGGGCTCGCAGAGCTTGTAGCGGCGCGTTTTATCGACGATCGTGTGTCCGTCGTCCCCGTGAAGACTGCTGGGGCAGGCACGGCCGTTCGGGCAACGACATTGTCTCTCGACCCACGGTGCACCATATAAATCCACCTTGCTACATACCTCGCTCCGGTCCGCGCACTCCGGTAACTCCTTCTCGCTGTTCTGCGCAAACAAGCACCCGCGTCATTAATAAAGCGATTGACGCTCGCGCGCCTTTCGCGGAAATTCAATTGTCCCATCCGACCCGTTCCGGAATGGCGATTTTATCACTTTGTTTATTTCGTGTCGGTGGCGGTGGCGACACGGGCGCGAAATACGTGGAATCGGATCGCATTGAATCGAGCAGCTGATCGATATCGCACAATCCGGGTAATTTCTACGTTATTAATAAACGTCCGCGCACACAGAGACGTTTCATTCGTCTTACGCGGATATACGGTAACGGAATTATTAGTAGGACGATTATGATCGGCGCGGCGATTGTACCGTTGCGTAATAATAAACGTCTGAACGTGTCGTGTCGCGCTATGGGACCACGGTGCTTAATGAAATAAACGGGACGATTGCGCACAAGACTCGTAACTCAAGTATATCCGCTCTTTCTGCCGGCGATACAAAGTCTACTATAACTGGACTATTTAGATGTTGCCAGTCCATTCATTGAGGCAATCGCGTACGTCCTGTCCGGCCTATCGTCATCGACGACGACGCCAACTACCGTAAGGCGACCATGGAAATCGCGAAATATCTGCCGAGGGTGTCGACAGATTTTTTTTATTATTTCGTCACAATTTTGCCTTGAATTTCGCACTCGGTCCTTTTTAACAATTTCTTTAAACTAAGGAAACTTTTTAACAAACTCGCTCGTCGCGAGCAAGTTTGTAATATCGAATTTCGTCGTTTACCCAAGTACCTACCGAAACTACCTACTTCCGCAATTACCTACTTCCGCGTCTCTCCGAATCTGCGTTCGTGGATACACATTACGGATTTACGAACGAGAGAAAAGATGAAAAAGGAATGCTCTCTTCGGAACGCGATCACGCGCGCGGTTTCTGTTAATGCGATACGCGTTTATCGAGGTGCACCTCGATAGTGCGTGAGTCGAAGTAGTTGAAGCAACGTGGCCATTCAGCGAAGAAACGCTCGAGGAAATGGTCTTCCGCCGTTTTACCGCCGACTGTGAGCATTCGACTTTTTGCTATGACCATCCGTTCATCTCGTTTGTCTTTTTGTCGCTCCCCTCAGCTGTAGTTTCTACTATTACTACTACTACCACTATTACTATTATACTACTTACTACGATCATTCGTCACGGCACAATGGACCGAACGAATAGCTTTTTACGTGGAAAATTCTCCTTTATCTCGCTCCTTTAGACATCCGCGTACACGTTTACATATCTAAAAATCTAACTTACAGCTTCCGAATAATTTTCTACTCGCATATGATATCTCTTACAGTTTCCTCAACATAGCTTGACAAATTGTACAAGTTATTTAAACATTTAAACATTTATAAAAAATTATTTTTATCTAACAATTTTATATAGAAGGCAGCATTTTTGCATGTATATGATGCTTTTCATAAATTTGTATATTATTACACACGCATAACAAATTGTGATTTAATGTCATATTCGTCGATTTTTCGAAATAATCCATTCGGCCGCACTTGCAGGCGGTATATAAATAATTTACAATTACTGAGAACCGAAATCTCTCCCCGGGGATGTTTTTAAGCTGCGCCTGATCCATCTCACGGCATTATATTCCGATTTCAATCGCTTCCGATTGTTAATCGTGTTTGTCCGCATTATCCTTTCCGCGCGGCCTTCCCTACGCATCTCTTTATCCCACTTCCGTCGGCTCTCTACGAGCGAAAGAAAAGGTGAAGCGGAACGAAAGGCGAAGGAAGTTTTTGAAGCTGATATAGCGGCAGCGAGCAGCGGGATTCACGCATATACTCACGCGCGCGCACACACACGGTGGAACGGCGGTAAACTAAAATGGGATAATAGAAGGACCGGAAGGGCGCCGTAAACCATCCGGAAGTTCTCACGCGTCTCTCGCTTCTCGCACGGCCGCAATGAAAATGACACCTGGCACTCGGGATGGACATACTACACGAAGGCAAAGGAGGAGAAGGAGGAGGAGGAGGAGGAGGAGGAGCCGCTAGGCATCGGCGACGACGAGAGGAGAAGGGCCGCGCGAGACGAGGAACGAGATGCGGAACAAAAAGAGAGAGAGCAAGAGAGAAAGAGAGAGAAAAGAAGAAAAGAGAGGTAAGACGCACGACGACGCAGGGAATCTGGTCGGATGGATGGATGGATGGCGTTAGTAAAAAGAAAGATCGCTCGCTCATCGTTCCATATAGCCGTACCGGATGTCTCTAAGCCTGGAAATCTCGCCGTGCGATCGAAAGCGTAATGGCACTGGGTGCTCCGTATATAAGATAATTAATCGCTCGATGCGTATCTACTAATTGTCCGAGGAGATAATCGTCATACGCGTCATGATGATTATAAACGGAGCGATCTACGAGAAAAGATTACCCCTCTTCACGACTAAATTATTCATATGAGTTAATAATATGAAATCAACGAGTCCCGGTCATGTCGAATTTTTAAAAATCATTTTAAAAATAAAAATATTCACGAGAAGAAATAGATTACTCTCGGAAAAATCTTTTCAGGAGAAAAACCTGGTCTCCAAACCGCATTGAAATTTGACATTTTTGACCATACCGGATGTTTCCTCTTCAATTGTATTTTTCTTTTCTGTATTTACAAGGGCACGGGTAGGCAATACGATTGTTGTAGGATTGTTGTAGATTATTGAGAAAGAGAGAAAAAAAGAGCGAGAAAAACGAGAACACAATAAAAAGGAAAGATTTGTTTTCCAAGAACGATTCTTCTCTCGGCGCGATTTCGTAAAGCCGCGTGATTCTCGTCCGATATGCAAGGAGCAGTTTTCTCTCCTGCGACGACATCGTCGTCATCCCCACCGTGTGCCGTTCCTGCGCACGTACTCTCGGCCCACGTGCGAACGTACGTATCTACGATACGTCGTACTTGGGTGTCGCGCCTGTCCGCACGTGTATACCTACGCGCTGTACCCCATAGGGGACACGTATGCACGCATGCACGCACGCACGCACGTACGCACAGACGCTACGCACACGCGTGTATACCGTCGACACGTAGGTGTTTACAGCAACGACAGCAGCAACAGGTTCGAGCATCGAGTGGGCGCCGCTCTTTGCTAACGGCTACGTTTCCCTCTCCTTCCACTTCCTGCGCCTGTAAGCGGACGATTTAGCTTCAAATCCTCGGAATACTACCCGAGAGCATACACGAACTCGCGTATATGTATATCGTTGGAGAGACATACACCGAGGTCTCGTGGCGCACGCTCGAAACGATTTCGAAAATTGATACGTGACACCTGTTGAGAAAAATCCACGTAAAAGAGAAAGAAAATCGACGGTCGGAGATGACGAAGAATCCCGGATCCGGAAAATGCGTTGGTCGCGCGAGAGAAGTAAGTAACGCGAGATCTGTCCGGCCATTCATATTCTCGACGATTCAATTGCGTGCCTCAATGAGACGGACTCGCCGGGATTAGGTCGCTAAACGCTTAGCCGCTTTCTGGAGCAATTCAAGCGCTAATTCGTTCGGGGAACTTAACGGAGCGAGTAACGTAATCTTAACGTCGCGCGTCGGCTTCGGCTTCGTGCGCCACGTTTGAGGCGATATTGAGGAATAGATTTGAGAGATATTGAGAGTAGAAGGATAGAAAAGTGGACGGATGCGATATCAACGCTTTGCTTTATGATTTATGTAAAACATCGCCTTTCATTCAGCACTGAACGTGTTTAAATCCATGACATTAAATAAGTTGCTATATGCGTATCGGTCAGCTAGTCGTCCAACATATTTGTACTGGCGGCTACGTAACGGTTACATAATATGTGTACATATAATGAATTAGAAACTGAGAAATTATATATATATATATATGTAAAGGTAATATATACGTAGGTTACATAATTTAGGGATTGAGAATGATAGATGGATGTTGACGTGGGGGAGTGGCTTACCCCGACTTGGTACAGCACCCTGGGCTCCTCGTGCGTCAGCCTGTGCTTCCGGTTACGATTGATCAGGTCGATCTCGACCGTCGTGTCGTCGAATTCCTGCAGCTCGGCGTGGTACTTGCTCTCGTCGATGAACAAATACTCCTTGAGGTACTCGTCGTGTTCGACTCGCAACGGCAGATCGAAAACCTCGCATTTGCTCCGGCGGACGCCGGCGATCGCCAGCAGGGTGTACAGCAGGTGCCGTATTGTTTTGCCGGTCATCGTGTCGCGGCGGTGAGAGAAGCACAGCGAAGTTCTCCCCGATAAAGAATCCCCGATCGAGAGAATCGGCGGTCGCCTGTTTGTGTGCGTCTCTCTCTCTGTCTCTCTCTCTGTCTCTCACTCTTTTTCTTTCTCACCGGAGGGAACGTTTGCTGCGTTAGGTGTTTTATTCCACGGTGGGGGGATGCGATAAAAAGAATGGTAGGGGGTTTCGATACGTTCACCTTCTTATTTGCGCGACAAGGCGTACTGAACGAGCGGGAGGAGGAATACACGGGGAATACTCGTAGCAGAAATACAACACGATTCAAGAAAACTCGAAAAGCTCGCCGGTCGTCCGCTGCCGTTACTTGAAGTCCATCTTCGTGAATTCCACAAACGCGAATCTTCTCATTGATCGATCATCGGGATGAAGCGAAAAGAGGAGTTTCCCCGATCGCTTCGCGAGGAGGTATTGGCACGTACTTTTTCCCGAATTTGCGAATTCTAGGGCTAAGTTTCGAATCCTGCACGCGATTAAAATCGGATTCCCGGAGTTTTAGGTCTTACGATCCTTCTTCTTTCAGCCGCGGAAGCAGAAACGTCACGTGTCTCTGTTTACTGTGGTCCGGATCTTCTCTTATATCCCTCTTCTCGCTCTTCGCGATTTTAGAGAGCGCGAAAGAGCGCGGTTCCCCGATCCTGAACCGGCCGATCTTGGGGAGGGAAGGGGAGAGAGCCTCCGGGGTTCGATAGAGCGTATCGCACTCGCGCACTCTCACCGAGTTTGCCGATCGTCCCTCGAAAAATCTCCCGTCTGTCGCTCGTCCGCTCGAGTTCGTTCGTTCGTTCGATCGTTCGTTCGTGCGGTACTCCTTTTTTGCGGTTCCCGCGAGGTCTTCCTCTCCGGAGAAACGGAGCGCGCGATCGCTAAGACTGGAGAAGAAAACAGAATGTCCCGACGAGATCGGCCTATGCGAAGGTATGCCGTCCGCTCGACTGGACTCTTAAAAGCCAGAAGTAAAGCATGAATGGATGTCCCCCACCCCTTTTCCTTCGCCCTTCCCGTGCCCCCCCTTGCCGTCGCCTCCCTTCTCCTCTTTCTCGTCTCATTCTTGACTGCTCCCGTCCCCCCCACTCCGTCTCTTGCTCTTACGTCATCCCCACTACTACTCTCTGTCCGGGGCCCCTCTCTCTCTCTTTCTCTCTCTCTCTCTCTTTCTATCTCTCCTCACCGAACGTTTTCATCGTCGCCGTTTTTTCTCGGGACTCGTCGCCGTTTGCCGTTTGTCCTTGTATCGCATCCTCTCTTCCACGGGCTGCTCCGTACGAAGCGCGCCTTGCTCTCCGCTCTCCCCGGGAACGTATTAACGACGAAGTGTTTTACTCTTTCTCCGGAGGTCGGCCCGTTTGCTTTCGCGCGCGCGCACGCGGTCTGTTTTGCCATTATCCACTATGTTTTCTGCACATTCTGTGTTCCACGATCCTTTTCTCTCTTCCCTCCGCTTTTACCAGCGAGCCAGTTTTTCCACCGACCGATTTCCCTTCCCTTACGTCTTCCGATCGTACCTGAATGGCGTTCGCCCCGTTTCTCTCGCAATTCCGAATCTCGTTTGAGATCTCGTACTTTTTTTCCTTCCTCTTCCTCTTTTACTTTTTTTCCTTCTCCCCACTGGATATCCTTTACTAGAGATACAGTACCAACGCTTTATCTTTTTCAAATTAGAATATTTCTGATATTACTCTCTTTAAAGGTAGCTGTTTATTCTAGCGGTTTGCTTGAAATTATCATTTATTTCTACAAGTATTTCTCATAAATGTTTCGTATGTTTCGATAAGTCGTCGTTAACTATCTAGAACAACGTCTAAGATACCGCGAACTGCGCCGAAAATTAATCACTTGAGAACCTATTTCCCGCGTTCAAGTAGTCACGATTATCTTTTCCAAGTATTTTTATGATAAAACTGCACGGGAAAGTACCTTGTAAAATGCTATCGCGAGTAGAACAAGCTTTCAACTCGGAGATGTTTATTATTATTAGGAATGCAAGGATACCGTAAGAAGAATGCCGCGAAGAAATGCTAGAGCGATACTACCGTTTGCGCTTAGGCATCGACAAAATTGATGACGATTGTTCTTATTGCAGGAAAACTGTACGCTGTGTTCGGCAAGAGACAAGGCCGTATCGTATCTACGGAAAGTGCTCACGGCTTTGGTGGACAATTCAGAGTACTGGCCACCCTACCGGTTCTAGAGAGCTTCCATCTCGCAAGAGAACTGCGGACGCAAACGTCCGGATTGGCTAGTCCGCAACTAGTTTTTAGTCATTGGGAGGTAACACTGATACGATATTAATTACAAAATACGATTAAGTTTTGGAGTTTGCAATTCATGGCGAAAGGAAGAGGTTTCTTTTCCTTTTTAAATTTACATTAATGTTTTAATTGTTCAAGCGAACTTTTGATATCACTCGAATGTTTCTGCGTTACAGGTAATCGAGCAGGATCCTTACTGGGTGCCGTCCACGGAGGAGGAATACCTCCATTTCGGTGAAAAGGCGGACAGCGATAATCGAGCTAGGTGCTATATGGATGCAGTTCGTCGTAGGAAAGGCCTCCCCGTGAACTCCCAATTAGTTACGCATGGCGAAAAGCAACGCACTCTTTCGAAAAACAAGTGATGCGAAAATTCTCGTCGAAGCGAATCCTGCAGAAAGCGCGAGTTTACTCCGAGTTTCATCCTAGTCGTAGAAGCTCAATAATCTTACGTCCATTAAATCTGTGAAATTGTAATAAATGCGAGTGTATGAACAGGTATGTTTGTTCCTCCTTGCATTATGGATTACGAAACAAGATTAAATATTAATTGACTGATCAATATTTAATCTTATTGAGCAAAATTAAATATTAAACTGAATGTCTTCTTTACTCGATTATTTTAAGCAGCTTTTTTATTTGTTCGACTAAACATCATCTTCAAATATGCTGTTACACAATAATATATTTACGACATATTTTGCAGAAGACCAAAGTGTTACATACGAGTAGAAACCTACAATTTAATTGCATTTTATTGAAAATTACATAAACTATTTAGAAAAGAAGACATAACATATAACATAACTAGGATTACTAGGATATTATTTACATTAAGGACCGGTTGTTCCAACTTGTTGGTAACTAATAGTTAAATCATGTGTCTTTGTTTTTCTTTCATATTAAACAAGAATAGACATATGATTTAACTATTAGTTAGTTTACCAATAGGTTGGAACAGCCGGCCCTAAATAAATGTATTAAATCTGAAGATAAATGTACATATGTATACATTTTTGTTAAAACAATATAACGAATGTATCGGAAGTTTACAATGCACTTTACAAAAGGTTCTTGATTAACTTGTAAGCTCCTTGGTCCGTACGGTAAACCATTACGCCTAGTCATCCGCAAATACAATCTTCTTGCCCTGAAATCCTCGGCTCATGATTTCCTGCTGTTTTTTCCTGGCCATCCAAGAAGGATGTAAACTGGCATTCTCGTCGTTTTTGTTATCAATCGCAGTCTCATTTGCGTTACTCTCGTTTGCGCTCTTATTAATCCTGTTGGACGTCGTTTTCTTGTATTTCATAGAAAAAGATTGTTTACCCGGATGTTTTTTACCGAAGTTTGTATCGTTTTTGCGATTTATATCTTGTTTCTTAATTCGATCGTTCGATTGGAAAGTCCTGGCTCGCGTATTATGCATGTGAGGTCTCGTATACGACGTCGAGGCATTTCCTTGATAGTTTTGACCATCCCCTGTAATGAAGAAGTCGTCAACCATCTTTGTTTGCTCAGTCGCATTGCCTGCAGGATCTTGATTTTTCACAGATATCTGTGAGTCTTGATTAGCTTCTTGCTCCTCCAACAGCTCGGTAAACCTCTTCACCGTGGCCTCTTTCGTAACGCTAGACTGTTTAATTACACTCGATTGCTTGTCTGCGACTGTAGCTTCTGATGTAGCGTCTTTCTCCCGTTTTAGTAATTTTTGTTTTTCCAAGGACGTACATTCTTCTTCCAATGCCTTCTTGCGCGATTTACTCCTTGTTTCGGGTGACTCATTACACGCTTCCTCATCTTTGTCATGTTGGGGTTGTTCAAAGTCTTCATCCGAGTCAGCTTTTTGTTTCTTTGAACTTTTATTCCGAGTAGATTTCCTAGTTTTTCCAGCATTCTTATCTCTCAATTTTGTAGGCTTCTTCTTATGCTCTGCCAAGTGCTCCTTACAATTTGGGAACCTCTCCTTAAACTGCGCCAGTCTTCTACTCATAATTTTGTAATGCGCCACCCTTGCCATTATGCGAACGCTATTACTCGACGACTTGTCTTGTAAAATTTCAGTCAGACCTCTCTCATCTAGGATCCCGAATTTTGAAATTTCGTCATCTTTGATCGTCTTCAGCGCGTAGACCTCTGCGATCAGCTTGTCGGCCTTTCTCCTACACTTCTCCCGCTGCGCCTCGTTCCCATGTCTATCCCGCAAGAGTTTAGCTTCCTTGATAAGCTTGTTCACTATACAAACTCGTGCCTGACGTACTGCGTGTCGCAGGAGGATAAACTGAAAGTATGATAAAATAGAATAGATATTATCTCTGTAGTAGAAATAAACGTAAACAGATCACACGTGCTTTATTAGAATATTTGAACGTATCTCACCTCGTTATTCATTTCAGATTTTGCCATTTTAGATTGGAAAAATTTTGTCCGCAGTAAATCACTTAATGAGCGTACGACCAGATGTGTAAACAGATTTTCTTTTTTTTTCTGTAGCTGCGGGCTCGTTTTAACAATCACGCAAGAATTGTTCTAGAAATTGTAAACAAGCCTGAGAGAATAGCGAATATAGTTTGCGTTCAACATGAGAATTCTCGACCATTATTCAGTCCAATTAGAATTCTTCTGGAAAAGAAACGCCCAGAGAAGATGTCGCCTTGATCACAGGAACTCTAGTCGCCTCTAGATATTTGTGTATCGCGACTGTTGATTTCACTGGGAAATGAAAGGAAATTTATAAACCTAACAATTTTTATTCTGACTTTTCAAAAAGCGCTCTCTGTAATATTACGATCTCGTTGATTACGAACGACGCAATTATAATATGAGGTTTTTCTTAAATTTTGGATTAAAATTACTAGTAGTTCGTGTTCGCTCCAAGAGATGTCTTCGTAGTCTCTCTTTGACTTTTAACATTGTATAAAATAATTAAAAATCAACAGAAAAGAAAATTGGTATGTTCTTTAGAGAAAGAAAAAAGAAAGGGGGAAATGAATTTCGAAGTTCCTAGGTTTGAAACCATTGTTTTTTCGTTTCTCATATCTCTGGGAGAAAAATAATACAACTTTATACTAATTTTTCCATATACTAGTTTAACTAATTGATCCTCCGGCCTTTACGTCGTTTTCATTAAAAGGATCCCTTTAATTGTTTTATCTATATTGAAACTCATATTTCATACAGACTTATCTGCCCACATATTCATATTGTAATGTTATCAACGATCGGCGATGTCAATGTTCTGCGAACCCAGGCTCAGTTGATAAATCACGCGCGCTCAATAATTTAATATATATATGTATATACATCATTTTGGGGATAATTAGATATTTATTTGTTGAAAATTTTATATACTTTATATATATATATATTTTAATTACATAGTATATTATATAATTAATATATATATTATTAAAATAGGTAATTTGTATTGTTAATAGGCAAAAGATATACATATGTACATATAATATGCATACCTCGTACGCTAAAATTGATAAAAATTTTAGGAACCGTACTTATTTAATTCATAAAACTTCAAGTTTGGAGATTTCGACATAAAAATAAAAATTCGCAAAAATAGGTCGAGTATTAGAAAAAGAAAGCAAATAGAATAAGCAAGGAAATCGCGCTATCCGAAATTACAAGAAGTGCGATAGAGAATTTGAAATTTCGAATCGCGAAAATTAAGAATTTTATAAATCACGAAAGAATCAAAGTATTACAGTTGGTAACATGCATGGTATATAAGTAATCGTGCATAATCCAAAAAATGTTTTTTGAAAGATAAGTTTCTGCCTTTTGAGAAAAATTTAAAGGTCTTTCGACGAAGTCTTAAAAACGTCTTGAAAATGATGTCTTTTTACAGACGTGTTGTTTGGGTTGCTCCGCGGGCTACGATTACGAGTAGCATTTCGTCGACGACGCTCGCACAGTCGACAGTGCGAGCAATCACGGTCCCCGTTATGCATTGTGAAAGGTAGAGGCTGCAGTAGGCTTTATTAGCAACGCACTGCCCAACCGGATGATTACACAACAATTACTCTAATCCGCCTATATATAAAATTATTTACACGCGATGTTTGACGAAGCCGTGTCCCGCATAATTTTAATACGGAAAGGAATTCGAGGGACTCTAAGGTCGCGATCTTCGACTTTCGAAGAGACGTGCAATTTTCTATATTTTCGTAAAACCGATACTGGACACGGTGAAATCTCTTTACGAAATTCCTAGCTCGTTCGATCGATCTTGCGCGATCGCGTTAGAAATTTGATTACGCGGCGATTTGTGGCCGTAAAAATGGCTTCCGGGTTTCGTTACCGAAATTCACCAGCGGCTGACGCGAAGCGAAACGCGGGATGATGGCACGCCATTTCGCCACGAGTGACAAGGGTTTTTGTATAATGTTTCAGTAATAACCCCGCAGGATTGAACAATTGTGATAAATTAACCCTTCATAACCATTTTAATTATTTCTTTTACGTGTCTAAAAAAAATTATATAACGTGAAAACATTAACCTTCAGATAAAACTATAATTAATTTATATTTTTTAAACTTTTTGTTATAAAAATTTGGTTTGCAACTTCGAATAAGATGCTACGTTAAATTGTGGCGAAGAAATACAATATAAGACTTAAGAAATACATATCCTAAGATATACATATATATTGTGTAACTTACATGATGGTATAAAGGGTTAATGTTACCAAAAAAAAAGAAAACTCAAAAATTGTGAATCTCGAGTAAAAGTACCAATTTTCAGAGGATACGATTAACTTTATCTCTTTATTGAGATACATTTTAGCTTTTTCGAGAAAAAGAAATATTTTAATCATGTTGCATTTTAAAACAACAAAATGTTAAATCTCCGAATATTATGCGATAAAAGCGTAATTACATATATTACTTTCCAGATTTTCTACATCGATACTGCAAAAAACCGTCTTGATGTCTGCTCGCCGTGCGAGAAGCCGATTCACGAGCGCCAGTGATCGAGATGCAAAACCAGCAAAACAGAAAACGGTAACGAGATCCGAGTCCGGACCAGAGTTACGTAAAGAGCGGCGGAAAGAAGACGAAGAAGAAGCACAGCGCGAGGATTTCTTTTTACCTCGTATCCGACATCGCGAACCGCGCCGTACTTTCACTTTCGTAATTAACGTAGACGGCTCCGCGCCCGGCGTGCGGCGATGGTTCGTATACGCGCTCCTAAGTCGAGTATCCTCCGACGGAGGAAACCGGCGAAGAGGAAGAAAAAAAAAGAGGGAGTTCGCGAAAAGAGCCGCGCGGAGGTTTGACGGATGCTCGCCGACGATCGCCCCGGCGTTTCACACCAATGTCGCGATAATCGCTAACTCCGAGCCGGTTCGCCATCCGGCGTGTTATATCGCGTTACGTTTCGAGCGCGCAACTCCTGTAACGGCGGCGGCCGGGCCCCCGGGGTTTCCTATCCCCCGCTCGCCCGACTTGGATAACATATAATAACGGCTATGATACAAGGCGGTGCATAGTCGATTTCACTTTCGGTCGGATTGCAACCGAGCAGCTACCGCTGCTGCATCTCTTTCTCTCTCTTCTCCGACGCTTTGTCTTCCTCTCTGTTTCTTTTATCTTTTCTTTTTTTAATTTAATGGCGCAAGTTTGTCTTGTTCTCACCCTCGGATTTTGTCAAAGCGTCGCTCCAAATTTTATCGACATCGCAGATAAGAATTTATCGCGTTCTGCGATGATTTTATTAGCGAGAGATTAATCGCTGCGTGAATTTATGTGACATTCGAAGAATATTTTTTGTCTTCGTTCCGCATAAAGAAACGATCGCGAAATATATTCGATATTTCGAGAGCACGTTTTATTTTTAACAAACATTTGCATGTGTATCGCATATTCGGAGCGCGCACTTCCTGTCTAAATAGTCACGCGTCACGACTGTTGGCTACTCGAAAAACGACAATGTTTTTCAACGCAGAGCTAGAAACAGTTTGACATATCAATGTTTAATAAATAACAATAATATAATAATTAATAATATAACGACAATAACGCTTTTATCAATATTTGATAATAAATAATAATATAATAATTAATTATATAACGATAATAATATTTCTCGCATAACCAACAGTTACGATGTGCGAACATTTAGACAGGATATCCACGCCCTAAATATGTCTGCAATATGTGTACGATTTCATACGCTGAGTATTTATGACCTCGTATCTACATCGAGAAACACGATGTCGCTAATTCAACTGGACAATTAAACATACCGGCAGATTTAGACGCAATTTCGTCTACTAATTAATTTAATATTTAGGAAAATACAGCAAGATTCCGGATGAAATTATTATATTATCTACTTTATCCCGATTTAATACAAGTCATTTCGAACAGGCCGATCCGGTTTCGTAATGCGAACGATAGAACTTTTTCCGATGAGGTGTTTCATAACGAGGCCGCTAAACTTGTATCTTAAGAACATTTTGAGAGCATATCGCATAATGAGTAATTTAATTTAATTCAAGCATTGTTCTTTCGGAAGCCGCTTGACATGTAAGCTTGTAAATTTCGTTTTGCGTCACTAATCTTGACTCCTTATAATTATTATAATTTAGAAAAGAATCTGTTAAAATTCTTCCCTAATTGTGAAATTACTTTAATGTTTAATACATATACAACATTCTATATAAATAGAAAACGGTAATATAAATAGACAAACGGTAAAATGTAGATACGACGTCAAAACTAATAATAGAAAATTTTACAGTTACTAATTAATATTTAATGAGAAATAATACGGATCAAGTTAGATTGAAAAATGTATATTAGATGTGCATTCATATGCTAAACTATACCGTAATATTTCTTTTAAGGAATGTTTCTTCTTTTTCAATACAATTGTATTGGCGAGAACGCGCGCGCGCACGGAACAATTCGAGCATGGCGTCTCAAATTACCGTGTATGTACACGTACACGTATGGTGACACATATGCATGTGTATACGCGAGATATATAGGTTCAGAAGTTAAAGCAGAAATTAGGAGCGAACCGTGTCCCCTTTCTCTTGCCAAGCCAAGCGTGATATAAAATACTTTCCCTCTCGCGCGCGCGAGACAGGACAGGAGCGGAGACCCCGAGAGCGCGCTCGAGAGAGAGGCGATACCGACGGAAAGAGAGAGAGAGCGAGAAAGAGAGAGGAAGGGGAGGGAGGAAGAGAAGGACAAAGAGGCAGAGAACTGTGCCTCTCTCGCGCGCGAGAACGGAAAACCGGAAAACGATAGCCGAGCCAAAGGCCCACGCTAACGGCCGTTTCCCTACCACTCCTTCGCGTCATTTTTTTTTTCTCCCTCTATCTTTTCATCTGTCTCTTTCCCCCGCTCCTTTCCCCCTTGCTCGGGTACCACCCCCGCCATTGTGCGCGCCCGGCTCGTAGACCTGTATCGCGTCGCTGTACTCAGGTGCCTTCCCCCCCTTCCCGCCCCGCCCCGCCGTGCGTTTTAAATCCGCGTTCGAGATTCTAAAACCACCGGCGGCCCCGCGGCGGTGCCGGTCACGCGAACTGTAAACACGCTTCCGGCTGAGAAGCCTGGCAATTTCTGCGCGCGATCCCGCAATATACGTGTATGTGTTACGTTTCCTCCCGCGTTATTTATTCGCGCGTCCGCGATGGCGCCGGTCGTTGAAATTTATGCGTGTACATAGGACGTGTCCCATAAACATTTGAGCGCGGCGTCGATAATACCTGATTTTTCGAGGAAGAAAGCGCAAACGGGAATAAATTCCCGTTTTATTGGGCCACAACAACGCGTCGGGAGAAACGTGAGAATTAATTCGTGTCGAGCGACGACATGAATTCCTTTGGCGGTTTAATTTGAATCCTCCCGCTATCCGCCACGCGAGAACTTAGCTCGCAGCTAACGTCAGTCGACCGAGCGTTACTCGAAGGGACGGACGGTAAACAGCGCGGCGCGAAAGGCTTCGTCCTGTCGGCCGGGGTAAAATTGGAAAACCAGACCGCAAGCATTGTTCCCCTAAGTGGACACAGCTGTGTTCAGTAAGTTTACTTTCCCAATAAAGCTCGCGCCGGCCGGGGGGCCGTCGGGCATTTCTACGGACACGGAATCGCGAATTCGAAAGGAAATCTCTCAATTCGAGGTTATTAGCCATTTACTTGTTGCGCAACGCCGTAAGCGGCCATCCAACCGTGGATGCAATTCGTGGATAAGCGCGGACTCGGCTCCCCGTGGAAAGCCGCCGATAATTAAAGTTTCCGCGATGCTGATTCAACGCTCGTCCGACGCGGTTACGCGATCCCCTCGGTATTCCCCTCCCCCGCGCCGCGGCGGGGGGGGGGAGGACTTAATCGCGGTCTACAATCCAACACCTTGGAGCCGAGAGCAGTAACCGTGTTACTCGACGGCTCGAAAGTAAAAGGACGAATGTCCTATATATCCGCGCGCGTATAGCGTTTCCTCTCTTCCGTCCGCCGCGCCGCGCCGGCTCGGTAAATGACATTGATTGTTTCAAGGTGTACGGTTTAAGGGGATCAATTTCGCGCGTGTGTCGTAAAAGATAGAACGAGACGGACGCCTCGTTTACAACGGATCTCTCTTATTAACTACCTGCTAACGTTATCGTTGCAATTGAACGTGGATCCGAAATGCAGAAAGTACGTAACTCCGGAATCGCGTCCCGCTACGCGGAGAATAAGCAACTGTAATTGTCATTTGCATCAAATTATAGGCATAAAATTCTATTTATAGTTTTATATGCCGCGTATAGATCGATGTATATTTTATATACGTTTGTATCCCGATTCTTTAAATGCCTTTCGTATCACGCGCGTAAAATTATAAATAGAATTTCTATTCTGTGAAGTCCGTCAGTCCGGATGACATCGTCCGAAATAAACTCGCGCTTTCGTTAAACATTTTTGTTAGCTCATACCATATTCGTATTTTAAAATCAGGGCACGTATTACGGAACTTTTCGGAATGGATTCTAATCGGAATTGTTTAGTTATTTTTTTAGATTTCTATTGTTTCTTCTAATACGTGCTCTGATTTGAAATCTCAGTGCGCAGTGACGTAACATTCGTCACAAATGTATCGTTCCATCCCGTTCCATCGAAATTGGAGTCGAGATTCGATATCTCGAACGTCTCGAGTTCAAACGCGACTTTTCGAAAAATCGCGCGCGGGCACCTTTTCCGAAAACCCCGAGTTTCGTAATTTTACGTGCAAAAGACGCGGAGAGACGCTTTACGCGAGGAGAGGAAAGATCCTGAGGTCTTCCTCGTCGACTTTGTTAAAGTTTGACAGTTAAGTTTAACAGACGCTGTTCTCTCGTACGCGCGAAGAAACGGCCTTCTCCTGCGCGCGAGGCGCAGCCGTGTAACGAGCGCGATCCGCGTTCAAGAGCTCCGCGCCGAGAGCACACGGCGCGCGGCGCGGCGCGGCGCCGGGGTCCTTCTCCGCGTCGCGGTCCCCGTCGCGCGTCTCGGTCGGGCCCCGGGCTTCCCCACTTCCCGCGTCGACTCTCGCCACCCGCCGGCACCGACGGCCGCCGTCGGTGTGTGTCGCAGTTACACCGAGTCCGTTCGCGCACTCACATTAAATCCCGAATCCGCGCCGGCGCGCGTGCCTAAGCACCACCTCGTTCGGCCCTCCTCGTCCGCGCCCCGGTGCCCCCTCACGCGCGTCTCCCCTGGTCGCGCGAGGGATTTTTGGATCGCCACCACCGCGTCGTCCACCGTCACGTGCGCGCGCGATCGGGTACCGTTCCGTTTGTTTGTCCTTCGACGAGAGTCAGTCAGTCAGTCAGTCAGTCCGTCGGCGGGGTGTCATCGGGAGAGGAGGATATGCCCATCGTCCGCGTCGCGCCGAGAGACCGAGAGTACGCGTGACTCGCGTGCGTGCGAACCCTGAAGATCCTGACCGAGATCCGAGATACGTAATATACATAAGTAGGTATATTACGGATCTAGGGATTGCGAAAATCGGCGCGAGTTACGGTGAGTTCAAATATCGTCGCTCTTCGCGCTCAATTCGAATCAGTTCGTCAGTTCGCGTTTCCGTTTCCGTTTGCGTCGCGTCCCGTTTACCCTTTTGTTTCACCGAGTACGGCGACTGTCGGCGAGTGCCAAGGGTGCGCGCGATCGCGCACAAAGGGGCGTCCCTGCGTCGGAAATTGGTTGGATTCATCGCAAATTAACACCGGATTTAAAAATCAGTGATTAGAGACTCAAGGAGAGGACAGCAGGAAGGCGCGGGGATAACAACAAGGGGAGAAAAACGCACTTCCGCGTTCACGTAACGAGATCGATCGATATCGGGATGGAGAAAGTTCGCGCGCGCACGGTTGTGCGTCGGCGTCCCGAAATTCGAGAGTCGCGCGTCGCGCGTCGAGCGGGAGAGTGAAGTATGTGCCTTGCGTGTATCGACGATCAATTCACGTGCGTGGAAAAGCAAACGTGTTCTACATTTCCGCGACGACGACGTTACGGACGATTCATTCCTCCAAGTCGAATCGCGGAGTGAAGTTAGCTGGTTTATTCCTCTTCTCCTTGACTTCGTCGAGGCGAAAGAGTAAAGGAGCCAACTACCAACTCAACGTTTAATTATGAAGGATCGTCGTACGAAGGTGTCGCGAGAAAATGACGTTTATTAATATCGGTAAAATTGTGAATAAGTTAAATTGTTTTAATTGAGAAAATTAGAGACGGCTATATAATTTCCGCGCGATTAATGCAACGCGACGCGATGCGCGTGCGCACAATAGCGGGCGCATACGGCACGAAGTGCGCTTGCTCTTCCCCGCCGGCTTTCCGTCGTAAAAGGCGCGCGACTCTTATTTCTGGCTGCGCCGCGCCGCGCGACCGACCGTTGCGTCGCGGTTTTGCGTAACCGGGAGGACGAGTTTTTTTAAACGACCGTTCCTCTTCGTTCCTTCTTTCCGTTCTTTTTTCTCTCTCTTTCCTTTCCACCTCGCTTAATCGAGTTCCGTGCGCGTCCCTCCGTTCCCAGGTCGTCCGACCGGTGGACGGACGCGGAATAAAAAGGTCGAATTTTCTCCGATCCTTAGCATTCTGACGTTGGGGTGTCTTCGGCAAACAATAAGCACCGGTCCCGATATTCATAATTTATACATCCGTCCCTACCTCACACAATTCCGCTTGTTATCTTCCATCTTTTTGTCGGGAAAAGCCTCGAGAAAAGTTGCCGGTGTGTAACGTCGAGCCGATCTCACCCTCAGTTTTATTTTCCTCTTCTGAGTAAAGGGTGCAAAGGATCAAATCTTGTGCAATATTTGACGTTCGTGACGCCTCGCGAAAATCGTAACGCCTGAAGATAAACCCCCGTTCTCTTTTTTTCCTCTCTCTTTCTTCCTCCCTTGGTTTCTCTCCCCTAATACCTGTGTGTTGGTGTGCAGTGATCATACGGGAATTGATGCATACGGAATCGCGCGCGAGGCGAGGAGGCACGTGACGCCGATCCGTCGTATCCTCCAGCTTCCCCCGGTTCCTCGTCGCGGGACCGATCGGCGCGCATTGTGCATCGTACACGTGTGAGGAGGGCACGTTGCATCCGGACGACCCCACACCTTCCCCTGCCCGCGTCCGTTCGTCATGCCGAGGATCTCGACGGCCGCAGCGATGGAAACATGAGGACCGTGACAGATCGCGCATCCGATCGACGTAGCTCCACTCCTACCGGCCATAAATGACGTAAGTACCCCCCTTCATTTCGCCACGCGCATGATTCGGCACGTCGCGAAACACGTGGTGGTATATAGATATACGAATTCGCGGCACGATCGCGGGGACCGCCTGTTTCCAAATCGTCATTGCACCAAATCTATATATTTCGCAAATATCGAGGTTACGTATTGTAAATATGGTAATAAACCGTGTGATCTCTTTCATTTCAAGAGGATTCATTTGAGACGATTTCGACATGGGCTCCCCAATTTGGCGGCTGACAATTTTAATTGAAGTAAAATGCAAAGCAGCCTGCAACTTTTTTGCCGCGTGAGTTATTCGCGGCAAATATTCCTTTTTACGAATCTGGAGGGAAAAAAGGAGTTGTTCGACTGATATTAAACTGATATTATGCTGAACTGGAACCGTAACGTTATTTATGCGAAAATAGAAAAAAAAGGAGATTGGCTATAACAAGATCGGATCTCGGCGAAAGAACTTTTATTATCTTGAGATTTTAATTAGCGGACTTTTGCATTTTTTGCACGATTTATTTCACCGTTGTAAGTGTGCTCAACAAAGCTGACGTTGCAATTATCGCGAGTCACGCGCAGATTTTATTTATAGCAGAGGTCACTTTTTTAAGATCGAGATTCAGACACATTTTGATTTTAAATCTGCCGATTTCCACACGTGATACCCGAATAAGTCGAGTACCATAACCCGTAGAGGATATACTGTATCCAATCTATCTAGCACACCGTTTACGTAATGTCGCGCAGACGGTCCGAATAAACGCCTAATTAAAAAGTCACGTGAGATTATACGAGCCTAAAGGAGCTAATAGATAGCATTCCCGGCGACCGTTACGAAACCGACGCCGATGAAGAATGCAGCGAGGAATGTCATTTGTCGCCTCCGCTTATCCAGTCCTGCGTTAATTTAAAAAAAGATGCACACGCAAACGCGCGATTTTATTCTTTATTTTCAGCAATATTATTTGTATAGCGCCGCGTATCGGCTATTCTCTATTATCGCTCTTGTTAACTGAGACCTAATGACCCGATCGATCGGCTGATCGATCCGACTTCGATTTCCGCGTCGTTAGCGCGCCGAGGCGCGCCAACATCGCGTACCTGTACCTGCCTCCGCGCAGCGCACGTGGCACGTTGTTTGCCAAACAATCGCGCGCTTCGAACGATTCGGGAAGGAGAGCGCCCAACGTTTCCGTCCGAGAGAAGGTAGACTCGGTTGTGCACGCATAGCGTCGAAAGCGAGATCTAATTACTCTCGTTTCTTCTCACCAGACGCGGTCTCGAAAGACGGAACGTCCTCCTGGCGAGCGTGCGAATCGCGTTCTTGATTTCTTTTTCCAGCAGGAAGCGGAATCTCTCGTCAAACGTCGCGGATCAACAAACGTTCACTCGCATAATTAATGATTTCGCGTTTACAACAAAGAATTAATCTGATTATTTTAAGAATACGTCGTTTTATCATTTTCACGGACATTGCCCGGCAGTTACATCGGCAACGATCGGAATACGCGGGAGAGCGGATACAAAAAGAGAAAAGCAGCGCGCGTAAAAGCAGGGCGGAATAGAACTTTCGTTTTCAATATTTGCGATCGTGTGCTCGTACGCGCAAACCGAAACCAGCGTGAATCGCACGTTGTATAACGTAAGCACGCGCTTATATGGCTTCGCTACCTCGTTGACTCGAGAATCGCTTAATCTCATTCCAATTAAGCATCGTACCTCCAAAGTGGAAGAATTCGATCTCGTTTGGGAAAGAGAAGGAGAGAGAATCTCGCCAGCATCTGATGGGGATACTGAAATATAGCCGCGGAGAAAATGCGGAAAACTACAATCCCAGTGGTAGAAATGTTTTAAGGTTTTGCCCATAACGATTATACTTTTTAAATAGTTGCGCGCTGATTTTTCGTCGTCTCGTTTTATTTATAGCCGTCTGGGCCGTTAGACGTCGCCGAAGCTTGCCTTACAGGTTTCGCGTTGCAGCCGATCGGTCGCGGGTCCGTTAAGGTCTCCAAAGTCGGCATAATGAACAATACACGACATTTTCTGTCATTAGATACCGTCATTGCTCCTTGTTTATGATCGCGTTCAAATACAAATCGACGATTGGACCCTCTTGTAAGGTAAATTAACGAAATCCTTTCGAAGATGGAAACATAAAAACTCTGCACTTTAAGCAATATGCGCAATATAAAATTCGTTTCCTGGCTCAATATATTTCCATCTCACAGTTTTATTATACACGAAATATAGTTATATTTAAAGGAGAACGAAAAAAAGAGACCGCACATTGCTATTTGATTTCGACTCGATTTGCTCGAAGCAATTCGCCACAACTACGCGAGTTAACTCACTTTTGCATAACACCGTGCAATTATAGGCTGATATATGCGACGCTGTGTACGAGGTTGCTTTCTGTTTCTCTGCTCTAACGGCTGATTTAATTTACCGCTGCCGCTTTCACGTGTGGGCAAAGCTGTTACTAATTGCGCGGAAATATTCGACGCGCCGCGAGTTTCCTTCCGCTTGGCGCGTTGCCGTTTCCTCGATCGTCTCGCGCCCGCGCCGTATTAACGGGACTCATGAAATCAGAGCTTTGATACGCGCATGTTCGTTTCGGAGTCTCGTGCCGTTCTTTCGTCAAGGAGGGGAGGGGAGGGCACTTTCACGCCGGGGAGAAAAGCAACGTTTCGATAAGTATTCGCGGTGAATAGTTCACGTACGAAGTAGGACGCCGCAAGTGTTGCGTCGGTCTCCATTAACTCTCCGTAGCACAAATTTTATATCGCGCACAGCGCACGTTCGTCTTTCCGATGTAAATCATTTCATCGCGCATGAAATGCACCGTAAAATGATGGAAGAACTTAATCTTACTTTCCTAGTTATCCCTAGTTATCCCTCTTTCTCTCTGATTGTTATAGATTTATTCAATCTTAAGAAAATATCGAAAAGTGTTCTATATAAACGCGTGATTATAGTGAAGCTTATTTGTCGATAACGACGCGGCTAACTAAATATATAGAGTAAGAAATAACTGAGAGCATCTATCAAGAATAATCGTCCTAACGACGAAAGGGTTAACGGTTAATGGTTCTCCCCGAGACGGATGTATCGAATTGCGAAACGTTCCGCAGCGGGAAATATTTTAAGTCCGTCTCGCAATCGCGGTTATCTCGTCGATCACTCGATCTCCCGAGACACCGTGTCAAATGAGGGAAAAACCGCACAAGCGATCTCGCCGATGATACGATGATAAAGATGCATATGATGTATGAACGTTTACGTCCGGGTTGGCAGTTTACCTCTTATCTTAAGTTTACCGCCTGCAATTCCCCGAGCGAGTCTCCGTCGAGCACGTAAAGGACATCCCCGACAATCATTTGTTGGGTAACGAGTCCAGTCTCGAGGGAAAGGTTACGATCGTGCCACCTCGATTTTTACGGTTCTGCTCGAGGCAATAATCCAGGTTCTTTTCGCGTCCTCCCTTGCTATATTATTGCAACGCGCAAAGCGCGCATGTAGCGTATGCCGAGATTCTTCTTTCCAAACAAAGCGCATTGTGATTAAATTTACACGGACAGTGCACTTCTTCTCTTTCTTAAAGTACGTAGTCGTACACTATTTTCATCTTTACCTTTTCTATAGTTACGTAAAGAAATAAAATATTTTAACATATACCTAATTAAATCGGGTTAAATTAACGTAAGCAACAGGTTTTGCTGAAAAATGTTTGTTAAAGGAACTTACTGTAAGACAAAAAGATTTGAAAAGCATTGCATGGTTGCGCGCACAAGTTGCGTATATGCTTCCGAGTGACATTTATATTATTGATCGTATGTATTAATTACTTATTAGATGCATCGAGCATGAATAAGATATCGTCTCCGCGATGACTGTCATCGTGGACAAATTAAATCGCAATCATAAATATTCTAATATAATGCGTGAAACCTTGAGAACACCAATTATCATGTAACGCCGCGAATATAAGCGATATTGGTATTACGAGGACTGCATTTATGATGCAAAAGGCTATGCGTCCCGTCTGATATATCGCAAATTGAAATCGCCGTTTTAACCGCCACGATTGCCTCACTGTTCTCCATTACGCAATCTCGCTCTCCATCGCGCCCGCATCTTCGAAGGGGGTTGAACGTCGCGGAGTTCGCAATCTTCCACCTACCATCATCGTCCTCGGGTTAATAGCTTTTAAATGTCTCTGAGATCCACCGTGAAAATCTATCAACGTGAATTCTTGGAAGACGAAACACGTTTTTTAGCCTTTATACCTTTTATCTCGTATTTCCATCTCGCGTTATTAAAGATATCTCTCAAATATATTCCGGCACCGAGAACGCTTGAAAAGGAAGAATACCGAGAAATATTCCTTCAGGCTATCGAGGAATACCCGACAAGGATGTAGGAATACAATGAATCGCGCAAAAATAAATAAAAATCCCAATTCGTCATGACTCACGTGGATTTTGTCGAAGATCAGTTATCGTCGTCGTCGTCATTGTCGTCGCTGTCGTTTAACACATTAATTTCTGGGAACTTTTGTGCAAGAATGTGCAATTCAGAAAGCCGAGACCCTGGTTAGAGACCAGTCATCGTGTAACGAAGCGACGCGACGTAGGTGACGGTTGAAGACGCGATTGCCAGTGCACGGGCAGAAAATTACGGCTCGCAGGCTTTTAAGCACGGCCAGCTGGGATCAGCTGTGCGCGTCCGCTCCGATCGAGTGTACGCTCGACGATTGCAAAAGTGAATCGGCGATTTCTTGAACGTCGAAAGTCCTTTCCCGCGAGACTGTGAGTCGCGGAGACTCGACGTCGACATCGCCGTACTTAATCGACGCCGTTCCGTGGAAGAGAGAACGTCATGCCGGGCACGACAGTGCCTCGAGAATCGGGCATTGACCCATATACAAAAATCGGTGCCGGCTAATCCGCCGTGTCACAAGTAAAACGAAGTCGATTTAATTGACTCGCGCGC